TTTCAGCTGCTCTTATACATCATTTAAGTAAAATCTCAGGAAGATCAATAGTTTTGTAGTTCGAATTTTAGTGACGTCATGTGAAAACCAGCTATACCTTTTCCGAAGCCGCTACGCGCTCGACTCGCAGCTCAATGGAGGATCGGGTTTCCCTATAGAACAGTCGCGCGTAAAGATATTCAATTTGGTTTCAGATGTGGTTTCCCAGGATCCAATGAAGAGATTCGTAACCAGGCTAAAAATATATATAAATATAAATTACTTTATTGAAGTGTCGAAGTGGTTTATAGCACTACTGTGCTAATTGGGGACACTGAAATAAGCCGACAAAAATATTGTAAATTGAACACAATTTTTTTGAAAAAATCCCGACTGGCGGGAAGTTGACCAGTTGGCTATTTACAAAGCGTGGAGGAGTTGGATCCTCAGAATGAATGTCAACCAACATTCCATGATGGCATTAACCTGGGCGCCGGAAGGAAAGAGAAGACGCACGCCCAGAGAAACCTGGCGAAAAACCGCAGAGAAAGAAAAGACAGCCTTAAATTTGGGTTTTACGTCGTGGAGCGTGGCAACAATGGTTACATGTACACTAGCCTGCGTAGCTTAACGGTTTTGAGTAATTTTTAAGGCGGCTTTGGCGCTCGTTATCGTGGCTTCGCCGCTTTCTTAGCGCGCTCGAACTCCTTAAAAACCGCCAAGCTACGCAGGCTGTGGTTACACGAGAAGGAATAGCATGACGAAGAGAAATTTTCGCTGGGCACATAGATCGCCGGTGATTCTGGATAAAAGTCAAAGTCAGTGGTTTCTCGGGTAATTGGACCTCTTGGTTCCACGTGTTTTTGGCCCCACTAAGAAGGTGGGCGACATCTCACTAGGCCGGACCGTTTGGGAATCTTGCTACATGCCTATACTATCCGGCTTTGAGATGACAAAGGAAACTGTGTTTTACCGTCTGTTTTGGGTTATACAAGTTTTCTGTTTTTTTTTGTTTTGTTTTTTTTTTAGGCTGATTCATCGTTTTGGTGTTTCGCTATCCCGGGTTCGCGATATCGAATTGCAACGTAATTCGTTACTTCAAGAGACCAGTGAACTATACTATGAGGGCGCCCCGACCCAGCAAATTTCATCCGTCGATACAAGAGAGTCTCGGGAGGCAAAAAGGTAAAGGGGTATGGTCTGTATACGAGCCAAGTGGCCCATCAGGCGCGTGCATATCCGGTTTCTGTAGCATGAAGCGACAAGGAGTATTTCTACTCCCCCTGGATGGGATGCTAGAGCATCGCAGGGTTACCCCAGCATTTCGCCCCTACCCATTTATACACCTGGGTGGAGAGAGGCACTGTGAGAGTAAAGTGTCTAGCCCAAAAACACAACACAATGTCCACGGCCAGGGCTCGAACCCAAATTCCGATTTTGACAGTTGACGCTTAAATGTTAGGGCTTTTGACGGTTAACGTTTATCAAGAGGAAATTTCGTCTGTGAGTTGAAGTTAATATTAACTTTTGTATTTTTAAGTAATAACCTTTGTGTTTTGGAGGTCGTCTTGGACTGCGGATGAACTAAAGTGAAAATTTTTACTCTAAGGCCTCTAATAATATCAGAATATATAGCCCAGATCAAATCTTTTAAACCGTGGAAATCGATCAAAATGCTGTTTAAAAGCTCCAGTGCGCTTTTGGTCCTCACCAACGGATTTCGCGTCTTATATCGCTCGATTGGTTTGTCTTCTGCTTTGCGATAGAAGCTCCCCGTGGCTTTCATGCCGATCAGGACTCTCGACATGATCTCAACTTGTGATTAAGAAATGACCGGATATGGCGTAGTCAGAAACAAGTTATCAATGCAGTAAATCATTAATAGTTTTGAAACCGGAAGTATTTCCATATACGTCAGCAGATAGAAGCCAGTTGTCAAGTCAGTTTATATTAGGCACTAATTAAATTAGTGGAAAATACCATAGGCTTAGTATATGTGGGAACAAGAGAGCTAGAAGTCCGTGATGAGCCGCTAAAATAGTGAGATTTGAAGGCCTTGAAACGTTTTCACGGTTTACGATAAAAATGTCATTTCTGACGGTTGACGGTTACATTTTAGTCTGTTTGACGGCTGACGGCTAACCCCGTTGAGACCCTCATACAAAGGAGGTCAAAGGATTCCTGCGTGAACACAATAACCCCCTACAAGATAATCGAACTTCTACGTCAGTGCCATAGAGACCTCTTCCCTCTCCCCCTAGGTATTGTAGTGTCATAATTAGTTTATTCAAACAGATGAAATAACCTTCTTTGTTCATCGTCCTATGTTGACCCCCAGCTCGAAAGATTCTGGCCGCAAGACAGCTTTCTGGCCTTGGTTACCTGGGTGTTGCGTTTGCCAGTTATCACAAGGAAAATCAGCAGTGAGAACGCTCAGTAATATCAATTCAAAAGCCATATTCTAAGCCTTCTATCGCAACTAACGCAAATTCGATCTCGCAAGAGTTGCTCAGGTAAGCAGTCTTCATTGCCAAAGAAGTAGAAGTGAAAATTGGAAAGCTTTCCAATTTGAAAGATAAGTTTCTTTCATACTAAAGTTTTAATGTCTTGATGAGCCGAAGATAAACGGATATTACATTGCCAATGTATAATTAAAACTACGCAAGCTTGGTTGCTATAGTAAGAAGTACTGCGGTATCACTCTTAGAATGTTTATGGACGGGCTTGTTTCATAGGATTGGACGTTGGAGATTACCTTTGACACGGTGGAAGCATGAAATTTAAACTTCCATCGTTTCTTCGCTGTCTAAAATGCATATATAAGTTATATGTGTGTATATTGTGTGTTTACAAGGGTCGAAAAAGAACCCCGAATTCGGTTCAGCAGCATCTAGAAATTTCATAAACAAAGAACCTTTAAAGAACAATAGAAAAGCAGGAAACGCACTGATTGGTTTGATATTGACAGCTGTCAATAACTTTTAACCAATATCTGGCGCGGGCTCGGGTCATGTGCAACCAACCGGAAACCTTTTATTGTCTCGTGATTGACAGCTGAGCGAATGAATTGAAAGAAAGAACGAGGGCCGCTGAACAGAATGCAAATTGCAGATCGCCTGATTTCAAATAAGTCAGAAGAAAGAGCTTGAATTATAATACTTGCATTGGCTACACCTATGGGCCTTCTTGTTGTCGACATAATTGGACCAAGCTGGGCTTTTCGGAGTTAAAGTGTCGCGGAATTGAGCAAAGCTTCTGGGAAATTCGCCGTCTGGTTTATCACGTTGTGTTCTTGTTGTTGGCTACATGCGTACAGTTGAGGAGAAAATTACTTGATTTCTGCGCTTTCCGAGCATTTTTCTACGGTAAAGTTCGAGTTGTAAACCAACACAGCGTTTCAAAACGAAGAGAGGATACCTTGCTGTGTTATGAGGAAAAAGCAGTATTGATTTTCGGTGCTTTATTTTCGTAGGTAAATTTGTGTTGATCTGGGGAGCACGTTTGTCGCCCAATCAATGGAGATTGAAAACTCATCTGCGAAGTTTGCAGCAGCGAAGAAGACTCCTGTGATAATCTCTTTAAGATCTTTGAATGAAGATTTGACTGCGAAGGCAAGAGAAGAAAATATAGCCGTGGCGAATGGGCATTCAAGGTAGGAAAACCACGCTGGCCAAAATATTCATTTCACTTCGTACAGTGATCTTGAACAGTTGCCTGCAGCTCGCGTTTGTAAAAACTCGCCTTTTTCTTTTCAAAGTTGGTAAGTATCTTCAAAACGTTTTTCGGAGTACATTTGCGAGATCGGCTTAAATTAATGACTGGTTTCTGTAATTCTATCTCAAGTAAGAATTTCCATGCTAACCCTATAAAAAGTCTGTGTTTCAACGGGTTATTCGTCACAGTGCTAAAATTAGGTATATTTCATGACACCGTGGTCAGAATTGCCCTCAAGTTTAGCGTGGTATGTTTTGAACGCCGAACTACGCTGTAGTAATAAGCGAGCTTTTATTAAGAAGAAAACGAAACTCATTTCAAAACCAGCATTTCAGCTGAGGCGCGTCGAAAGAATGTAAATAAACATTTAGTTGCCGAAGAGATTTAAATCCCCACCTTATTATAATTTACATGACGAACAGACAGGCTTTATTTAAAGCTACGTTTTGCGGGGCTGTCTGAATGTGTTGATATTCAAATCGCTAGCATTCCAGACTTAAAAAAAACTCGCAAAACAAGGGTGCATTTTTTTTTCAAACGAGCGCGAGCAAACACTTCATTTCGACGCTGTATCCGGTGCATCCCATAATATGATGATACCCGAACATGCGTACCTCGAGAGATTTAAACTTCGTTTACCGAAGGAGTCGAAATGTGTTAACCTCTTCAGCTATCGTTTCCTTTGCGTTCGTATCATTCTCCTTCATTATTTAACCACGGTTGAGTGCTTTTTAACAATTCCCCCCAAAATTAACTTCCATTGGAAATAATTTTCAACGCTGCCTCCGTTTAAACCAACTTGCTTTCGTGCCAGCATTCTGTGCTAGCGTACTTCACGGGTTTCAAACTTGATAAAGTCGTCTCGAATCAGTCAGGCTGAAGTCAATTGATGCAATATCCATCCATTGTTATGTCAGGTGATTTTAAACGTATGACGTCACGATAGGCTAAGTGATTTTTTTTTTTGCGGCGAACAAAATGAGTTTCAAAATACCAGTTTACCGCGGATGAAAACACCGAAGACGGAAGAAAAAAAAAAAAAAAAAAAAAACAAAGAAAAAGGGACAAGGAAGCGTGATATTGAAATAAACGTTTCCTTGAGCTATTTTTTCCTTGTAGAATTCGTCATTTGTGATATGGTAACATTTTACAAAGTTATATTTTGCCCGATCTTCCGGTCATTTTGTGTCATCGAATGATGATGAGTGAAATATTTTCGGCATCAGCTTAAACAAACTCTCGGCCACAAAGGAAAGACTTAGCAGTGTTTTGTGTAAACGTCAAACACCCATTGGAAATTTTACCGTCTACCAGAAGTACCAATTACATAGCGGTTATTTCTATCAAGAACTACAAATATATTTATATACATTCAAGCATTAAACAACCGGGAAATTTTAATACAACAACCTATTTACTTTGTTGCCAGGAAACAGGCAAAGAAAATTCGACTATATCGACTTTGTCAATGCGATATCGACCATCAATGTTGAAATTTGTAAATTAACGTCTCAAATCTGAAAGTTGTGTGCTTGTTCTTGTAACAATTCTCACATTGAGAGGGCTCAAAGTTCTCTGTGACAAAAGGCATGTGAACAACCTTTGCACTCGAGGCTGAAAAAAAGAATGTTACATGATGTTACCGATGAAAAAAGTATTGCATAAACTCCAAGGTAACATCACGTTAATAACCTTAACGAGTAAACAAGTTAATATTATTGACCTCCCGCGCGATGAATACGAAGTGATTGTGCCCAGCGAGGCGCACTAGTGCAAAGTGGGATAGTGGCATTTTAAGTCGCCAGGTCACTAAGTATCTGACATAATCCCATGAGTCTGCCTTGAGCACCATTAAATTATTTCGTGACTGTCACGTAATGTCACGAAATCTACATTACAGACTTTAATTTGAGTACCTCCACCTGCTCCAGGCCCGATCCACACTATAAGCGATAAGAAAGAGGTCATGAAAAACTTTTCAAACATGCTCCTTTAGTTTTAGTGTAAACTGGAGAAAACAGAGAAATGAGAGACCACTGACACCGTTTTCGGGCAGGGACAAAATTCCAAATTTTCGTTCTGCTATCCCATACTCGTTCTTGGTGTATCCCGAGCTATGATGACACTCGGAAAAATACCGTCCCTCCCACCAACAGTCATACTGCTAGTCTACTAGAATCTTTTAACAACTTTAAATTCCAGTTTGGACTGCACAAGTAAGCTTTGGGGAAAACAGTCAGTGCTAATTGAACACCTTTTCTCATTGTAGGCCACAGGGGATGGTTACCAAGGCAACTAGCAATGGTGACGTGTCAATAAATGGTCAAACTAATTACAACCAATCAGGTGCAACTGCAGCTGGGTCAGTTTGTAAAGCACCTCTCATAGACGACAGTCTTATCGCTGATGACGATGGGGGACTCCCTTTAATCTCTGCTGTATATTCCCTTGCAACGAATGGCAACCAGCAAAATGGCGAGGAATCCATGGGGATATCGGTGACTTCTAAGGCAAGCTCACCGCAAATCATCAATCTTGGGAAGGCGGTGTCTCTTAATCCAAGTGCTCTCATCAAAGATCGAAACTCACTCGGTACTCCTGCGGTGAAAGCAAATCTTTCGACTGGAATTCCAACGAGTGCACTTCAGAACAGGTTAAGTCCGCCATCTAATAGCGTCGGCACCAGCACGTTAATAGTTAAGACACCAAGTGAGACCTTGAGATCAGAAGGTACGCTGACGTCAGAACCCCATGAAAGAAAGGCAAGCGCGCATGCTCCGGATCCTCAAGGACAACAGTCTTCAGGTGTTCTTCAGCTCGTCAAATTAGTGGACAGCGTCTCGAAACAACCACCCCCACCTCCTTTGACAACTCCGACTACCGTCAACAGCCAATCACCGTCTCTGGTATCCCAAACCAGTTTGACTTGTAGTAGTCCAGTTAAACAAGGGGCACATATACCCAGACAGATTGCAATGAAGCAGCCTGGCACCACTACGTCTATCGTGTTGAACCTTAAACCAGGCGAGCCTTTGCCGAAGGCGATTAATTTGCTCGGCCCAGACGGAAAATCTGTCGTATTTCTGTCGTTAACCGATGGTGGTAAACCCCTTCCGCCGCAAATCGTACAGGCTGGTGGAAAGATTTTAATTCCAATCTCGTCATCGATAGGCTCTTCCCTTGCGACAAATCAGGTCAGTTTTGTAAACAAGGTTGCAAATGTTTCGAGTGGACAAGTGCCCATTGCACCTCACCCAGGTAGAACAGCTGTACTCTCCCCGACCGCAATATCTCCCCCAGTGCGTCTTTCTGTCTCAGAGTCGTCAGGCTCACAGAAACCACTGGTGGCTACCACTGTGGTACCTAACACTGTGGTCGATACCACAGTGTTGGCCAAGAGTCCGACTGTTGCGAGTGCTACACTGGGAAGTCCTGACAGTTTGTCCACAAGTAGCAGGAATTTCCCTACAAGCACTCCGTCTGAAGCAAAGCCATCGACATCCACCGTTGAAAAGAAGACAGGACTATCTCCACAGGAAGCAAGGATTCAAAGACTAAAGGAACTCATAAAAACTCAGGAAGACGCTGTTAACAAGCTACGGGAAAAAAGGCGTTTAGAAATGGAGAAGATCAGAGACCAATCTGTAATTTCGAAACCGGACAGCGAGGATAACGAGTTTAAACCTGAAAGAGCTCCGCCGGCGAGATCTTCAAGCCCTTTCGCTGTGCCTTTTCCTCCCAAGAAGAGGATTAAAGAACAAGACTCTAGCTTCAAGAGCAAGGTGCCTAGGTCGACCGATTCAGCTGTGATGCAAGGAGAGGGTGCATTTATCCCAAACGGTGATGACAAATCTTTTGTGCAGTTGATCGGGCTTGAAAAAGTTGTTAGCAATATCAAATAACGCAATGTTTGACATAGCGTGCAACCCCCTTGTCGGCCTAATCCCGATTTTAGGTTATAAAACCCTCCAAAAAAGCCCCGTATTAACGTTTTTTCGTTAAGTTAGAATCTCGAAGAATTCCATATTACGGGATAGAACACCACTGTTATAACAGTTTCAACGTATTTCTTTAATATCGGTCATTAGCGTTTTTTCCTTAATCTGTTTGCCACTGCACTCTACAAAAACACCACTGCAAAGTTACGTAACCACGGGCCTCATTTGAGGATGATTTCCAGTCCGTACTGCGCAGTCTCAGCACCCCAATGTTTGTAAGTCTAACACGATGGAATTCCAGTCGATGTTATTGGTTACGAACCCCTCCCCTTATCTTTGAGGCATTTTAAATTCTTTTTCCAACAGTTTCTTTGATTTTTACAGCTTCGAAGTTGTTTCACCAAGTGGTATCAGAGAGAACTTCACAACCATGTTGGCGGTTGACCTGAAACTTTGAATCAACTTCATGTAACTAGTGGCGAAATGTAACAGTTTGTGATGTCTTACATGAATCAAAGCAAAATCTTAAACAAACTCTCGAGAGTACGCAGTACGGACTGGAAATCATCTTTAAGCGGCATTTAGCGGTATTGATACTAAAGCTACAAGCTAAAAGATCGCACGGCGGCGTGGACTATTTTGCATATTCCTTTATTTTTACACGTTAACAAAGCCCGAAACCTATCGCCTTGCACGCTCAGTTCGGTTGGTTTGGAAAGCCAGTTGAACTTCGCGTAAATATCGTGAATATAAAGGATATCGACTTCATTCTGTCGCCCGACGAATTAGTAGCATTATTTTTAAATGGTCTCATCGTTGAGGCCACCTTCTAAAATATTTGCATCTTATTATTTTTAAATAATTTAAAACTTGTTTGCAGGCTACTAAAGTGTGGTATTATCTTCACGTTCAAGCGACTTTTGTGGAGCGCAAACTGCGCTCAACTGTGCGAGAGAGAGAGTCGAGAAACCGCAGTTAGACTTTGAGCTGCAGAAAAAAATTGGGCAAATTATCAAATTCTTTTTGGTTTCGGAAGGCCCATAAGGAGTTTATTTTTAAAAAAAACTCACGTTTACAAGAATTGTTTTATCATATTATCAATACGGTGATATAAATTTAAGGTTCACAACCGCAGCAACAACCATAACCGGAAGGGCAAACGTGACACTCATTTCGTGTCCAAAGTTGTAACTAGTAAGTTCAGAGGCAATTCTAAATGTTGTGTTTCTTCTGACGCTTGTGTTTATCGTAAACTCAATTATTTCCCTTAACTGATATTTAGTGCAAGTTCTGAGCATTTGAAAGAAAATCAGGTGAAATTCCTTACAGTTTAGTTGAAAATTTTCATCATCCTTAATACCATCAAGTTTGAGAATATATGGTAATGTTAAAAAAAACTTAAATGTGCCCGTATCCCTTTCATACTTCTAAACCAAGACATCAACTTCCTCCTATGTTTATAAATGTTGTGGAGAGTTGTTGCTATTTACCATTTCAGCGTGGTGTTTTTCAAAATGGCGACCTAATTGTCGTCATTCTCCACGCGTGAGGGAAGTCCAAATGAAGTAATATCTTTAAAATGACAAGAACTCTGGGAAAGAGCATAACATTAGCTTATTCAGGAAGTGAATAATGCAATGTTTGCTGATCTGAAGTGTGTTTACAAGATGAGCACGTTTGTGACACTGTCTCTAGCAGAGCACTAGCATGAAGTATGCGACAGCTTTGAAACCTCCTCATCGTAAGGTATTTATTTACCCACCGCAAACGCTGAGAAAGAATCGGACAGTCGTTTCCAGATAATTTTCCTTTACATTTGTCTTCGGTTTGTGTTGTGTTTCGATTCCCCGCGAGACAGTCGTCGTAGTGCGTATCTCTGGTAACGTCACGCAATCATCTACCCGATTTCATATTTACCGTCCCAGAGAGCGTGAGGGAAGTGTTACATAGTCCGGGACAATTGCCTTTGACGGGATGCACCTAGGAGGAACTGTCTTGCAAATGTTACAATCCAATCGATTCTGCTACCTAAGAGTACATAAGTAAGGGATGAAATTTGTTATTGTGCCCGATGTATGCCTTTTTT